AGCTTAAACCCATTTCCCCTTGTTTTGTCATTAACTGCCCTTATGAAAAGTCCCTCCCCAGCTTTCTTGTAGCCCCTTCAGGTACTGGAAGGCTTCTATAAGATCTCCCCAGAAGAACATTATTTTTCAGATGGGAAATACCAAGTTACTTCTCTATGTAGTTATCATGCCAACAAGACCTGGCATTCAAGCAGTGTCAGTCTACCCTGGCAAACTGGGCAACAGCACTATTTTTGTTTTCTGTAACAAAAGGGAAAAAAAATAATCCACTGCACACTACCTTCCTTCTTGAGATAGAGAATTCCTTTTCACATTGCTTGCAGTGCGTTGCTTCATCATCCTTCAGCCAGGTATGACCCTAGAAAATGGGAATGAAAACTTTGCTGTACATACAAATACATTTATAAAATAAAATTCAAAGGCAGCTTAGCAGCATTGTGGGTATTTTTCAAAAGCCATCTTTTAAAGTAGGAGAACCGGGGTGAAATTTGAAGGTGTTAAATGAAATGCATCTGTTTAGTCAAAATACCCAGCAGAGGCAGAGTACCTTTAGTGCTTTATTTACTTCTTTAATATCTTCCATCTTCAACTTTGATCTGGAAAAAAAATAAAATTATTCCCTCTGCATGACTTTTTGTTTAGTTGTGTTCAATGTTACCTGCCATTCCACTGCCCACCCACTCACTCTAAACTCTAATTCTTCAGTCAGCTCCCTGTTACAACTCTGAACTGCTCAGTATCACCAGGAAGCTTTGGCACCTTGGGGTTTGCCCCCTTTTCAGTATAGTCAGGAGAATGTGGGACAAGCACAGTTCCACCCTAAGAACTAAGCATTTACTCTATTGTTTCCCATCCCAGTCACGTAAGGATCATCCCCCACTTTTATTTCATGGCTGTTCAGTTTCCCATGTACAGTAATTGTCTCCTAAAATTCTCATGTTTATTGATTTTTATAACTGGATACCAATAATTTTAAAATGCATTAGTTTGACACTCCATTAGAGGAATTCAGTTCCTAGAACTTACTGGCTGAGATGAAGTCCCATTTCTTGAAGAGCTTGCTCCTGCTCCTCACAGACTTTCTCTAACTGCTGCTTCTCGTCTTGCAGTTTTCTCAGTTCCTATAAAATTAAGCACAAAATCAAGTTCTTTGTGCACTAATTTTGATCTATAGACTAGACAGACACTCTATCCAAACTACCCAAGCACTTCACAAAGCTACCTGTTTCTAAGGCATGATTTTTAGAATTACATGGACTACCCATGGGTTCTTGTAGAGCACAATGAAATCATTTAACCATATTTACCAGAAAAAGAGGAAGACTTTCAAGCTTTGGACATCATTGAGCATGGTGAGAATGCAGCAGTCCTATACCCACACAGGAGCATACAGACAGATACTGGTGCACAATTGTGCCTTCAAACTCTAAACTGCCAGATACACGGGAGCAAATTCTCTTTAGGTTCATAAGAACGTTCATGCTTAATAAGTAAATGGCATTTAGTTGTTTGGAATGCTTGAAAACATGTTCTTATTTTATCACATACAGTTGAAGGACCTCACGCTGCCACTGAAAGCTCTGAACTTGCCATTTCCTACCTCAGCGGGTGTATCTCACCATGGGACAGCTGAGGAGCTTTTTGTCCCCAGATATCCCACAGCAGCTTCAGCTGCTCACTGATGAACGGCTCAGACACTCGTGCAGCCAAGGCAGGGCAGAGAGCGACCTCCTCAGCCACCTCGAGCTCAGAGAGCGACCTCCTTAGCCACCTTGAGCTCAGAGAGCGACCTCCTCAGCCACCTCGAGCTCAGAGAGCGACCTCCTCAGCCACATCCAGCTCAGAGAGCGACCTCCTCAGCCGCCTCGAGCTCAGCGAGCGACCTCCTCAGCCGCCTCTAACTGAGCTGTTTTCATTGCCCAAGCTCCATATTGCTCCAAGTTCCTTCTCTCAGCATTTCATGTGCAGACCTGCATTACATCAGCCAAGCTTTTGGAACACTCAGAGGAGGGTGGTACAGAAGAAATACTCTACTACAGATGCAAACAGTGCTCTGGTTCCGAGCCAGCTTTAATCCCCAACACTGGGTACGTTTGCTCTGTACCTACCTTTTTCAGTCCTTCCATTTGTTGCAATTCTGTTTTAAGCAGAGTGGTAGCATCTTTCTCTTGGTGTAGTTCTCTTTGCAAAGTTTGTCTCTGTTCCTTTTCAGATTTTAATTCCTTTTCCAGAGTTGAGCTATTTAAAAAGAATTCATTCTAAGAAACCTATAGCAGAAAAATATCCTATAGCACTTAAGGACAGCAACAGTGTGAGAAGAAACCTTGTTCAAAAGAGGGCAAACACTAGAGTGGTCTTCTGGGAAGGGAAAGAACAGGGATGTTATGGCAGCAGACATCAAAAACTACAGTAGCATTTTCAGGTCATAGAAAACAAGCAGCACTAAATGTTGGGAGAGGGGAGAGGGGAGAAGGGAGAAGGGAGAAGGGAG